TTGGACTTTATAAAAAATATTCTCTAAGTTTTCTAAATTACAAAAACACCCTACAAATTCAAAATTTATTAAAGCATCTTGAAAATTATAAATTTTACTTATCTCAATTCAGTGAGAAATCTGAAAAATATATGCTAACTAGAAATTGAAAGTCTTTTTACTATGAAGAAAATATCTTGTAAGTTTTAAAAATTACAAAAACACCCTTAAAAATTTTAAATTTACAAATACACCGTGAAAATGTTAGACTTATAAACATACTAAAAAAACCTATAAATAATACAAACAACCTCCAAAAATTTATGGAATCTACAATACACACTCTAACTTTTTACAAATTGCAAAATAAAACCCTCAAAATTTTAAAATTTATAAAAATTCTGATAATTTCTGACCTAATAGTACATTAAAAATATAAGAATTATAAATATTCCCTACATAATTTATAATCTGATAATTTCTGACCTAATAGTACATTAAAAATATAAGAATTATAAATATTCCCTACATAATTTATAATTTATAGAAAACACCCTTAAAAAATATAAGAATTATAAATATTCCCTACATAATTTATAATTTATAGAAAACACCCTTAAAGTTTTAAAATTACAAACAAAAGTTTAAAATTCAAAATTTACAAAATACTCCCTAAAAATTTTAAATTCATTAGTAAATTGAAAGCATAGGAAGTATTAATAGTCTATAAACAATTTACAATATGTAGAAAAAGTCTATAAGTTTAAAAATTACAAAAAATCCCTAAAATTTATAATTTATAAAAAAATTCTATGAGAATTTTTAACTTATAGACACTAAAATGAATATACAAAATTACTAATATCCTCTAGAAAATTAAAATTTTATAAAAAATATCATACACATTTTAAAAGTATAGGTTTAGGAAAAACTTTTCAAGGTAAATATTACCCATAACTTTTTTTTGAAAAGAACATAACTAATTAAAAAATATTAAATTTAAAATTTATAAAAAATACCCTTAAAGTTTAGTATATTTCAAATTACCCCTCCAAAGTTTAAAATTTTTCAATAATTTTTTTTGTAATTCCTTGATTTCAATGTAATGTTTAATAGTTTTGTATGTTCGTAAATTACAAAATTTAGAGTATTTTTTACACTTTTTTAAATTTTTGAGGGTGTTTCTTTTATAGTTTTCTAAATTTTTATTGTATTTTCAGTGTAATGCACATATACATCAATTAATAATGATATTGAGGAATAAGTCATTCTTAAGATTATTAGACCATAGTCAAGTGTGCACATCATTATTCCTATGCAATATAGTTTATATATGCAAAATTTTTTAGATAATCTATGTAGTGATTAAAAAGATTTTAACTTTAATATACTATTTTTTTACAAATTATATTTAATATGAACCCACCATATAATTTTGACTGTGGTTATTATAATTTTAATACGTTTGATTGATTGACTATATACATATATAGACCATAGATTACTTTACTTTCTCACATGAGCTAACATTTGGTGCTTAACAATTTAAATTATTATTTTTAAATTCAATATAAAGAGGAGCTCTAATAACATTTATTTATTTACCTACGACATAATACAATCTCAATTCCTATTTTTTGCTAAAGATTTATTCCATAGTTACGTATTTCAAATTAGTAACTAAATAATAATTATTTATACTTAAATTAGGATGATTGTAGTTGGTCACTCACTACGAAATTTTTATGAAGATATATATCTTACTTTCTATAGTTATCTGCACTGCCCATGTATATTTTATAAATTAGTTCTTAAGTTAACATATTAAATTATTTTTTCTTTGTAGAATTTTTTTGACTTTTAGACTACGTAATCACTATATCACCATTTTAGCATAGAAAGGACCTCACTCTAAATGGCTTCAAGCTAATGTTTGAGTTGCAGTGAAGTATGTACTATTGTTACAATGTGTATATATTTTTTAAGAAAATCATGTCAACACTTTTTAAATAGACAAGAATATTCTAACCACTGATTTTATAAAAATTAAATATAGCCAACTGAATGATTAGCAAAAGAGAACTTACATTAGAAAAGTGTGAATAATAAGATAAAGAGGAAAGTTAATGTCATTACCAACAACCTACAAATAGAAAACTACAATGTAAAATTAACCTATTTTGTGGAGCCCAACTACTAGCTATAAGCATCTAGGTTTCCATATATATACTTTATAATTTATTAAAAAGGGTCAATTAATCTTATATAATAAAATTGATTTAATATTAAATAGTAATATCATTGTAATAATATCATTATTAGAATTTTTTTTATGAATCAATATGCTCTTTACGATATATAAGCTATGCACTCTAAATTCCCGTGTCTTTTATAGAGCCAAAAAGTTTGAATACAAGTATCTAACATGTTGCTCTCGCAACAGCAAAATCCACTTATGAGATATGAATATTCTAGAGGAGTTATGTATCCTATATACAATACAATCTATCTACCCTTTAAAAGAGGGAGTTCATGAAAAACTTTACCCTCCTCAAAATATCCTTCCAACAAATTTAATTACCAAACATATCCTGAAATCAGCCACTTTACCCTTTCATCCGTTACGCCTATGTACCTCCTCCCAACCTGAGCCGTCCCCACAACTCCCCCGGTAGAAAACGTATAAGATCCCTCCATCATCTTCCTCCTGTTTCACTTTTTTTTACCGAGATTCTCTCCAATGTCGGTTCCAGTGTACATAAAAATTTCTTAGTGTTTTGAATCTGGTTGTGTTTGTGAATTGATGGGAGGTTGGGGGCTGTTTCAATGCAGGGCGTCTAGGGATCGAGCGATCGATGAAGCCCGCAGCGGTGCAAGCCGATCAAATGCCAGCGAGCAAGTACAATTCAAGAAACCTAACTAGGGTTGAGAGGCTCCTGCGAGAGAGGGAGCTCAGGAGATTCAACAGAACCTTCAACATCGTCGAGGCTGAGCCTGGCGGGCCCGAGGAGGTGGGGCCCGTCCTCCTGCTCGAGCAGGAGATGGGGCCGCTGGACCCACCCGGTGATGATGTGGGCTCCGCCCCCGCCACGGCGGTGATTGGCGAAGGGCACGGCGGAGGCGGAGGAAGGGAACCGGCTGCCGGTTTCGGCGGTTAGAAGGGGGGAGGATTCTTGGTCGCTTGATATCAGCGTGGGCGGCCTTGTCAGCGCTCTGCTTGGTGAGAGCTTGAGCTTTAGTCTTATCTCCACTGCATGGTTGCTTCGTCGTCATGTTAGTTTAGAATAGGGAATTTAATCAAGTTTTTGGAGTTAAAAATGGTGCAATGATGGGAGTTTTGTTGCATTAGTTCGTGGGTGGAGGAGGTGGATGCTAAGTTTTATTGCATGGTTGCTTGTTGCTATAATGTTTTATATATGATGTATATGAGGGCTCAGATCTGAGGTGCTGGAGCTCATGATACATTGCACGAGGGTTTCAATAATCGAAGGGTAGCTGGAGCGAGATTAGAAAGTAAGTGGAATCTCGATCTTCCCATTTCTCAGTTAGACCAGTTCTTTTAAACTAATCCTGCACTTTTCTACTCTTATTATTGATTATTGATCTTATTGATTATTGATTCTTTCATCAACATTTTCCTTTCCCATTTTATTCCTGCGCTCAACAGGAGACTCTTCTTTTTTCTGTTAATTGTTATTTTTGTTTTTTTTGTACTTATGTGCTTATTTGCGTTGTTTTTTTAATCAAATGGTTGCTAATTTAGGAATTTTCATGTGTCTAGATGATTATGCATTGTCAATCTATAGAAATGTATTGAATCTACTGCTGTTATGTTGGTTATAGAGTTTAAAAAAACACTTGACAAAGAAAACTTTCATATCTAGGAACAAGGACGGGCTAAGACATCTCTGGTTTGCCGAGTCTCAGGATCCAAAACAGACAATTTGCTAGACTCGAGTTCAACTTTCTAAGTATGAATTTCAGGTTCACCTTTCACCAAAAACTTCCACCACTCCATTTGATTTTGCTTGGTCAACAGTATAGAAATGACCTCCCATCCTGTGTAAAGTTGAATATATTCAGAACATTTCAGTGAGAATAATGCAACATCACAGGAAATCCAACAGAGTCATAGTAGTTTGTACACAAACCTATGTTCCAGAAGCAATCATCAACTCTGACAGATTGATATAGTTCCCTGTAAACATGATCGTAAACGTTTAATAATCCTTTTTACTTTATTGTTTCATCAGTGAGGAAGACTGTACCTACCAGATTAGATTAATGCTTCACAAAGAAGTCCTTACCAGATTACTTTATTGTAATTTCTTATTCATATTCTCAGTTTGATTGTTTGATGGATAACCTTTATTTTTAGTATTGATTGATTATTGATTATTGCTGTTAGGTGTCCGATATTGATTGGAGGAGTAGAAAGCTATCAAGGTAAATTAGTTTTTATTTTATCTTTATGATTTTCCTCTTACAATTATAGCATTTTGTAATGTATTTTTAGTGATATCTGTTGAATATGATTAAACTGTTATTGTGTTTGGGTTTACTTTATTTTTTTGAGTTGAATAATTTGATAGTTAGGGGGTTGGGGGTTGGAGGGAGGGGGTTCAGCTTTATTTTTTTCCACTTCAGGCATAGATGAAGAGTTCATGTCCTTGTTTTTTTATTATTTATAGCAACAATGTTTTATAAAGATGTGGTCTTTTATGGAGAGAATATTATGAACAAAAACTAGAATGAGAGATTGAAAGAAATTTTTTTGTGATACGGATCATTTAGGAATTCATTTTGGTCTATTTGAGTATTTGAGATTTGATTTTTCAGTGGTATAGTTGAAAAGCTATTTGAAGTTTCTAAAAATAAGCTTGATTGTGTCTTCATATCAATGAAAAAAGGAATAATAGAGGACACGGAGAAAACTTTGCCTCTCATGTGGCTATCAATTCATTAGCACTTATTGTGGATTTTATTAATCACATAAAGATATATTAGGTGGCTATCAGTTCATGGACTATTACTTTCTGAGTGTACGTATGGATATCTTGACCTTGTCATCAAATAAAGAATCAGTTCATGGACTATTACTTTCTGGGTGTACATATGGATATCTGGACGAAATCGTTCAGCTTCTTTCCACGCTTCCAAAGCTTTCTTAGTCAGAAAAGAATCTGGAACCATACCCGCCTATGACTCTGCAATCTTCCACTCGATCACGTCTGAAGTGTGGTGACTTTGGGATTCCTTCCGCTCCGAAAGGATTTGATTTGGATCCCTTACCAAAAGGCTTCTACATATGAAGATGGAGGGTAGTAATACTAATCATAATATGATACTCACAATCTTTCTAGATATTTCATCTATACGTTCTCTTCATGTAAACTGTATTTTTTTTACATCCTGTATAGAAGCCAAGGAGCGCAGAGAAAGACTTTGGACGTCTTGACGTTAAAACAGTGATCCAAAATGTTTGCAATCTCTTCTACGGACACAAAACACACACAAAAAGAACCGGCTGCCGGTTTCGGCGGTTAGAAGGGGGGAGGATTCTTGGTCGCTTGATATCAGCGTGGGCGGCCTTGTCAGCGCTCTGCTTGGTGAGAGCTTGAGCTTTAGTCTTATCTCCACTGCATGGTTGCTTCGTCGTCATGTTAGTTTAGAATAGGGAATTTAATCAAGTTTTTGGAGTTAAAAATGGTGCAATGATGGGAGTTTTGTTGCATTAGTTCGTGGGTGGAGGAGGTGGATGCTAAGTTTTATTGCATGGTTGCTTGTTGCTATAATGTTTTATATATGATGGAGAATTTTGACCAATTTGGTAGCAATATGGTAGAATGACTATAATTTTCTTGCATTATTTTAGGAGTGAGGAGGTTGAAGCTAAATTGTATTGCATGATTGCTTCTTGGTCTAATGTTCTATAATGGAGAATTTTAATCACTCGTTAGCGAGATGACTGATGACATAATGAGAATTTGATTGCATTATTTTAGGGGTAAAGGAGGTAGACGCTAAATGGATCGGATGGGTCGGTGTAAATGTGCCAGATGAAATTTGGCAGAGAGCTCTTACAAAAGCTCTAGCTGAAAAGGTATAAAGTTGATGAGCTCTTAACATTCATGCTTTTGTAATCTAATATAAAATGTTGTTATATTTGCAAACAGAGATGCATTCCAGTTTTCCTTGATGAGGAAATAGTGCACCAATATTACAATGGATACTGTAACAACATCCTATGGCCTCTCTTCCATTACCTCGGACTCCCTCAAGAAGATCGATTAGCCACAACCCGTAGCTTCCAGTCTCAGTTTGATGCATACAAGAGGGCAAACCAGATGTTTACTGATGTTGTCAATGAGCACTATGAAGAGGGGGATGTTGTTTGGTGCCATGATTATCATCTAATGTTTCTTCCCAAATGTTTGAAGGAATATAACAGCAAGATGAAAGTTGGATGGTTTCTTCATACACCGTTCCCTTCTTCTGAGATTCATAGGACTATTCCATCTCGTTCAGATTTGTTGAGATCTGTTCTTGCGGCTGATTTAGTTGGGTGAACAACTTTTTTTTGACTGAATACTTTTGTGTGTGTTTTCTGGTGTTTGCTTAGCACATGGCTTGATATTCCATGACACTCTACATTCCACTATCTTCAACTTTTCTGCCACATGATATACACAAAGTAAGGCATATGCTTATGGAATTCAGTGGGCAGCTAAAGTATTCCTTTCTATTCACAGATACGAATACAAACAAACATTTTTGAAGTAGTTTTCTGTATATTATATTTCTTGGACTATGATATGGTTAGATTTTCCTGTGAATGTAAGAATGTTATGAGTACATTTAAAAATATATAACCAGTTAAAAGTATTTTTTTTTCATTTTTCCGATGCAGGCACCTACTGATCTATTCATGCAATATGGTTTTCTGGCTCCAGCCTTTGTTTGCACTTTTAATCTCATTAATCTGTTTTAATCTATTGCCTTTGTAGTAAGAGAATTCCGTGCTTGACCCTTTCATTAATAGAGTTTAGTTTACCCATCTTTGTAGCATCCTATCCTCCATTATGCACTTATTGATTGAGATTCTTTGTTTTGGACCACTTGATATGTAGGCGTGTCTTTGTACAAATCCACAGCTCTCCTATTAATGCATAATTCCTTCCAGTGTTATATTGGGCGCTCTAAGGCAATCTGCTTGGGTGCTGAGGCGGTTCAAGGCACTGAAACCGTGCTCTGCATGAGATGTGGGGTGCATTGTGTAAGTGAGGCGCACACCTCAATACACCTTATTGTGACTCACGCCTTGGTGCACCTCCGTGCGCCTCATTGATATTACTACTACATTCTCTATTCCTCTTCATTTGCCTGCTACTTTGTCTCATTACCATTCTGTCCTTCCTCAAATTCTCGCCTACTCCTTATATTTCCTCCATTTTTTCCTGTTATTATTACTATATTGAAACAATGATTGTGAAATCACAAACTATTGTTCTAGGTATTGCTATCGGCTGGGTTATTAATAATATCGAACTTGATTATGTTCCTTTGTTTTTTTATTGAATCATTGTGAAACCAAGGCTTGGACATGTTCTGTTGCTTATAATGTTTGTGATTCTAGATGTATGATTTTATAAAAAAAGTTCTTTTATTATTTTTGTTGTGATAAATTACTGGAAATACGGAAGGGTAGCATTAAATTGTCATTAAATCTCTTGTAACTGGTGTTAAGACTATGAATTAGAACATTATTATGTGATTTAGGTTATTGACCATGAAATTTAATATTTTGCAACCTTAGGACGACACTCCAAGTTCCCCTATAACAAAATGACTCTAGCGCAATTAGATGAGAGGGGAGATAGAAAGTTTTGTTATTATGTTATTTATTATTTATGTTGTAATAAGGATTGTTTGTTTGAAATATGGATTAAATTAAATAAATCATAATGAAATGAATCAATAATAAAATAATAAATTTAAAAAATTACCACGTGCATGGCACGTGCAATCCAACTAGTTATCCTAAGCGTGTGAGTTATAATAACATTTTTCATTCATATCGTTTGAGGTAAGATTTGATAGGGACCTGAAATGAATCAATAATAAAATAATAAATTTAAAAAATTACCACGTGCATGGCACGTGCAATCCAACTAGTTATCCTAAGCGTGTGAGTTATAATAACATTTTTCATTCATATCGTTTGAGGTAAGATTTGATAGGGACCTTGCATCAAAAAAAATTTATATTTAGAGCATATGACAAAATATATCATAATCTTCCTATTCTAATTTCGTAAGAAAATAATTCTTCATACTTCTAGTTTTACTTCAATGATGCAAAGAATGAGCTATAAAATTGAATGAGAATATTAGATAATATAAATATGAGAGTAATATCAACTAAAAGTTAACATGAATATGAGTCAAATCATAACTAAAAGTTTAATGGATATATTGTAAGTAAATTTATATGCAAAATTCTTTTACGAATTGAATGATCACTCGTCTTTTGAAGACTTAAAGATACTAATAAATAGACATGTTATACTAAATTAACGTGTTTATAACTCACAAATAGTAGATCACGTAGCCATAATCTGGGTTGAAAGAGACAATGAAAATATTTTATTTGAGAGAGAGATTATTGAGTTGATGACTAATTCCACAAAAAAAACTTTGTTTTTTATTTTTACTCTATTTCTATCAACTTAAATAATTATGATATTCAACCACGTGCATTGCACATACATTTCAACTAGTAATAATAATAATAGGGGAAACTCATAGGATCAATTTGTTAAGAAAACTACTAGATATGTAAGAGCAAGTCCAGCAAGCTCCCAGTTGGGAGTCCTAGTCATCAAGCTCTCAAGAGCTCTCAAGCATTTTGGTATAAAAAATTATAAAAATCCTCCTTGGGAGCATCTCCTTATTTTATGGAGCTCCAACAAGCTCCTAGTTAGGAGCTCCAACAATATCAAAAAAACCCCTCTTCTATTTTAATATTTTACCCATTACTTTTAATTATATTTAAACCTCTTGTATTTTATTTCTAACTGTTGGATACGGTCTTCGAGGGAGCGCACACGGTCTTCGAGGTAACTCGCGGCTTTCGAGGGAGCGCACACGGTCTTCGAGGTAACTCGTGGCTTTCGAGGGAACGCACACGGTCTTCGAGGTACCCCGCGGTCTTCGAGGGAACACACACGGTCTTCGAGGTAACTCGCGGTCTTCGAGGGAACGCACCCGGTCTTCGAGGTAGCTCGCGGTCTTCGAGGTTGGGCACGAACTTCGAGGTATCGCAAACTTTGACCGACTGATTCCTATAAAATTCGATGCCTTCTCACCTCAACCCATCGTCTCCCAAAACAAAATGTCTAGCTCATCTAGCTCTAGCGATGATGAAATGATGAAGAGGTTCTTTCTTATGGGAGCTGCTGCCGTCGAGGAAGAAGAACAAGGGAAATGTTCAACTTCAGTTCAACACAAAAGACGTACCGTGCTCCATCGATACCGACTGGAAGGCCACAATCGGTTGTTCCAAGATTATTTTGCTGACACACCAACATATCCTCTTCATTACTTTCGTCGAAGATTCAGAATGTCGCGTTCGTTATTCCTTCGAATCCACGATGCTGTCGTCGAACATGACAAGTACTTCGTCCAAAATAGGAATGGTGCTGGACAGTTAGGACTATCTAGCCTTCAAAAGATTACTGCAGCTATGCGGATGCTCGCATATGGAGCATCCGCTGACGCCGTTGACGACTACGTTCGAATCGGTAAAAGTACGTCGCTTGAGAGCGTGAAGAGATTCGTTCGATCGATTATCAACATCTTTGGGGAGGAATACCTTCGTTCACCGACTAATGAAGACGTTGCACGCCTGCTCGAGGAAGGCTCACAACGAGGTTTTCCTGGTATGCTTGGGAGCATCGACTGCATGCACTGGGTATGGAAGAACTGTCCAACCGCCTGGCAAGGTATGTATACTGGGCATTTTCATGAACCTACAATTATTTTGGAGGCCGTAGCTAGCAAAGATCTTTGGATATGGCATGCCTTCTTTGGACTGCCGGGGTCTCACAATGACCTTAATGTTCTACATCGTTCACCGGTTTTCGCACAACTTGCGGAGGGAAGAGCTTCACCGTGCAACTATACTGTTAATGGCCACGAGTACAATATGGGATACTATCTCGCCGACGGGATTTACCCAGAGTGGTCCACATTAGTGAAGACTATTCCAGCACCACGAGGAAACAAGCATAAATACTTTGCTCAACAACAAGAGAGCGCAAGAAAAGATGTTGAGCGAGCTTTTGGCGTGTTGCAAGCTCGATTTGCGATTGTTCGTGGACCAGGACGTTTCTGGCAACCTTGTGTGCTGAAAGATATCATGACAGCTTGTATCATAATGCATAACATGATCGTTGAAGATGAACGAGATTGTCAATTGGACAACAACTTCGACTTTAATGATTCGATACCAGTCGTTGAACCTTCTCATGTGCAGACGGTGCCTCTAACTGAGTTCATCCAAAATCATCATCGGATCAGGAACACGCAAACACACAAATCACTAAAGAATGATTTGATCGAGCATCTGTGGCAGCTCAAGGGATCCATCGACGAGGATTAAGTTTCTAATGTAATTTCAGCAAAGAAGTTCGAGTTGTTGTACTACGCCAATTTTCTTTTCAATGAAGTAGTTGTTTTCATTAAATGCCAAAATTTTCAACTTCAAGTAGAATCATAAATCTAATACAAGATAATTAGGAAGAACTAATTAGGATGCGATGCGAGTACAATCATAAATCTAATACAAGATAATATATGATAATTAGGAAGAATCCTTGGACATCCACCTCTCCAATATCTCTGCCTGACGCATTTCAAAGTATTGTCGTTGAACTGAATTGAGTGTTGAGAGATCCATCTTCATGATATCGTCATCTTGTTTCTTCTGTTTTAGCTCTATTTTTTGATTGGCGTTTTGCTTCATCCACGCGAAAGCCTCTCCTATGATGGACGTAGCGGATCCAGAGCTTTCCACATTTTGTTTCCTCTTGAGCTTTGCCGCTTTCCTCCCTTCAGGCCTTACTACCACATCATCCGAGTCAATGTTCAACCCGATGGGGGTCGTTGGCATGGAATTGTTTGGTGAGGAATCAGAGGTACCGATTCTTCTCGGCTGTGATCGAATCTTATTGTAAGATTCCATTTGTTGGATCCACTTTTGATGATGACGCAACTCAACCCAGCAATGGTCAAACACGAATGGTTTAACATAAAGAGAACATCATCCGAGTCAGTGTTCAACTCGATGGGGGTCGCTGGCATGGAATTGTTTGGTGAGGAATCATAGTTTGTGGTTCTTCTCGGCTGTGATCGAATCTTATTGTAAGTTTCCATTTGTTGGTTCCATTTTTGGTGATGACGCAACTCAACCCAGCAATGGTCAAACATGAATGGTTTACCATAAAGAGATTGGTATAATTCTTTTACTTCTGCAGTCTACACAAGAGTTAATTTTAGAATAATCAAACATAATTAAACATATTGAATCTGAGCAAAAATAATCAAACATAATTAAATATTTGCCTGGTCAATAATTCTCGTACCAGATCTTTGTCTTCCTTCAATCTGAGCAACGCACCCACAAAATTTGTTGACGGACAATTGAGTCGTTGACCAACGATGCATCATTTGGTTTGGCGTGCGGCTCGTTGGATCGGTGGAGTATAGGATAAAATAGTCGTTAGCTCGGTGCCAAAACTTATCTTTGTGTTGCCCCGTACCTTGGATGGCGTCTTGGCTCGTGTTCAGCCAAGCAGACACAAGAAGCTTATCCTCGTGGACAGTCCAATTTTCGG